TTTATCTGTTAAGAACATAATTAACTTATTTTTATATAGGTTCTAAACTTTTTAAAGTATTTTGGTTGTCTTAATAATATTTGTGTAAAAGTTATTCTTTGTTAGTAAGTGTGTTATTTTTTGTCTCCTTAAAAGACAATGTTTATTATGCTTCATTTAAATAACGATTGAAATTTTGATAATAATGAAGTAGATATTTTGTATTGTGTTCTTTATAAATGGAGCAAAGTATATTATCAAAATTTTGTTGCATTGTGTTAAAGTAACTTTGTTTGTGTTAATAAATTGTTGCATGGCTGAGCTTCTAATGTGTTAATTATCTTAATATTCTTGTATGTACATACTATTATGCAATTCTTCAATACATTCATTAACAGATTAATTAAATTAAAATTTATATATATATATTCCAAGATTTAATTAGCTGTTTTAATCAGACTTAAAATAACTTTGTTTTTAATATTTTGGGTGGGTGAACATTCATTGCATATATTTGTTATTACCTGTATATAAATTTATCTTATATTAATTAAATTAAGTTTCATTTTAGGTTCTTTAGGTTAGACTTCCATAATGGTTCATCATTGTTCTGCTTTTGGCTGTTCAAATCGCTTCGTAAGGGGTTGTGGAATTGGTTTTTATCGATTTCCATCAGATAAAAAACGACTGACATCATGGATCAAAGCTGTTAGCCGTTAAAACTGGATGCCAGGAAAAGATGCTCTTATTTGTGGAGCACATTTTCAAACAGGTACTAGAAAAAATTTTACTTCTTAGTTTTAGTATTAATACTTGTTTTTTAGTTGCACACATTTCATAAAAAATTACTGCTTATATCATAATAAAAATTCTATCTTCTAATTAAATTCTTTCACATGAAATTGAAAAAAAACAAACAAAGTTTTTCATGCTAGATTTTGAGAAAATCAACTTGACAACTTCTTTCTTTCACCAGGCAACACTATCAGTGCTGAAATAAAATTTCAGAAAATTAATAGAAAAATTTCTTTTCAGTTTGTGGCTTTTCAAACAAATAAAAATCGCAATAAAATTTTTTTTCTTCTCACATATGCAGATTTTTCTATTGTGTGTCGGTAAGTGAAAAAGTTGTATTTAAGTCTACATTATTTTAAAGATCATGTAAATTTTGTGATATAAATTTTGATTATTGAAATTGATTGATATTTTGATTATTATTATTTGATTATGAAAAAATATAAATTTTGTGATTTTAGTATGAAAACTTCCTTTACAGGTAAACTTTTCCTCCAATGTTGCCTTATTAAACTTGTATTATTGTCAAATTCATTTACGTAACTAAATTCAAGCATAAATTTGAAATCAGACTTTATAACGAACAGAAAAAAGCATATAATTATTTTATTGTCGTGTAATGTATGTATATAATGCAATTTGTTGTGTAAGTGCTACATTACTTTATATAGAATTCTTCCCCAAATAAAGCTCTACAATGTCCCGTATACACTCTTCCCTGCCTTGCAAATGAAAATTAATTTTAAAATTCTACATAACTACTTGCACACGAAAATTTTAAGGCCAATTTTGGAATTTTTTTTTTAAATGAACAGGACTACTTCCACTTGAAAATTCTACATAGCTTGCAGAGTATAATTCTGCAACATAATATATGTTTAATATGTAAATGAATGAATGATAAAAAACTTAACACCTTTACATCCTTAGTGGTTTGATATTATGCACTATGACTTTTCTTAAGCTGGTTATCCTTCTAACCAGCAAGTAGAGTTACAGATTACTGGGGGAGATTTCCGTATCATGATCTGTGGCAGAATAATCGCCAAATCTTGGAGACTTCCGGGCAGTGGCCAGCGAGAAACTAAAAAAAAATTCGTAAGGTGTAACCCGTAGCTACAACCGGGCAAACATCTACATGTTTTTTTCTTTGAAAATTTCAAATCTATTTGGCACCTTGGCCATTGTAGTTGGCACGACAGATCACAATACGGAAATATCCCCGTGAAAGACAAGATGCTAAAGTTTATTACTTTAATGGTAATTATTTATATTATATCTTTCTTTTTTAAATAAAATTTTGTTTTTGTATACACACACCAATTTCAAATGTACTGGAAGTCATTGATATCATGATTGCACTCAGTTTTCTTATGGAATGCAACCAAAAATGTTATGAAAACTTTTTAATTAATTTTTTTTATTAAGATGAGGAACAATTTTATAAAAAATATGGCTTTTTTTAAATTAAGGTGAGTTGTAAGTTAGTATAATGGCTAAGTTTGATGTACCTTTTGATAGAAAATACTAGGTTGATTTTTAAGGTTTTTGTTGCACATTAATGTGTTTTATTCAATATGGCACATAATAATCATTACTATCACTAAACAAGGAGAAAAAATAATTAATAAATAATAATGATAAATAAATAATCACACTTTTACTTAATTTATTAGATATCTAGGTAGAGAGGTTCAAGTGTACTGATATGGTCCTTTAGCTAGTGTTGTGTTTTTTTTTTTGTATTGTTTTAAAAATAAAGAAAAAGACATTTGTATGGCACTTTATTGAAATTCAGTTCAATATCTTCTGCAGCCTCTATCATGTTTTTTTAAAATTTTTTTTATTTATTCTTCTTAGTTATTTATGTTTCCAAAGTTCAAATAGAAAAAAAAAATTAAAAATCTTCTTTAATATGCTTGCAGTATTTTAATTCATTTATTTTAACATAAATTTATTTATTTTTCCTGGACAGGTGCTGGGGATGGAAGAGCGATAGGTCGTGGACTTGGATTATGACCAACCAATACTTGGATTTCTCGACCCAGATGTTTTTTTGCAACGTTTTAGACCTTAAGGAAGATATCGACTCGTTTCTCAATGGCGAGTTGGAGCAGCTGATGTCCATTTCTGGAAGCCCTGCCTATCGGACATGGAAAACGTTTGGGTTGAGATGGCTGAGAAACATCATTAAAAAGTGGTACTTGGAAGATTCCAAAATGTTTGAAGAGTTAATCATTCAAACAGCTTATGAAATTAGAAAGCTGTAAGTCAATTTTTTGGAAAAATTAAATTTTAAAATTCAGTTGAGCCATATTCAGTCTAATACTTCCTGAAAAACTAAATTTTAAACGCACAGCTATTTCAAAATTTGATTTCTCAGGAAGTATTTGACCGATCTAGCCCAAATTAAGTAATTTATGATGTAAACTTACATTCTTTAAAATGGTGTAAAAATATTGTACACCTTGCGAGTCAAATTTTTTCGACTATTATTAAATAAAATATTAAATATTTACTAGGTAAAAGTTATTTTTTGTGTGGAATTATCTTTGGATTTGCAAATTTTATTATTGTGTGCAAAAGTTTTTCGATTCACTTAGAAAGTTCTCGACTTATGGTGAAAAACATAAAAAGTAAAATTAACATACATAATAGTAACCCCTTAGGGTCCAAACTTTCGAGGGCTGTCTTAACCAAACTATTAGGACCATATTTTCCAGACTAGCTTCTATATTTAGGGTGGCAGAAATCTGAATCTGTCGAAAAAAGTTATGTTTACTCAGAAAAAGTAAGTTTTTGCGTCGTATTTTGTAGTTTAAAATAGTCAGCACTAATTAATTAGGATATTTGAGGTCACCCCCTCGAACCATAAAAATTGAGTCCTAGAACAAGTAGATCGGATCTTCTGATCAAAAGTTATTTAGAGTGGTCTATTTATTTTATTTTGCGCACTGTACTTCATTCAGACATATTAAGAGTAAAACATATTTTTTAACAGGGAAATTGCAGAATTTTACAACTTAAACTGCACCAATGATGTCATCTATAATTATCCACTGCATAAACAAAGTAGAATCAAGCAGTTTGAAAGAACCTGACTGGATTATATCAAATACCTGAAAGTGAGCATGAGGTGAAGAATTTGAAAGAAAATTTTTTGATTGGCTGAAGTATACCTTCACTAGTAAGTTATTTTTGCATAGTATTTCAGCATATGGATAGAAATTTAATTCATTATATTTTTTTAATACTTTTCATTAGTTTTGACATTTGTGCTATGTTCATCTAATAAATATACAATATCTTTGAATATTTTTTATTATTGCGTTTAATGTGTTCCTGTTTAAGTATAGTGCGGCTTTCAGGAGATCTGCTCCAGACATTAGTCTCGTGTCGTGGCGGGTACCATGGTTATGAGGGAAAGTCACTTCGAATATGGGTGTGGGGTGAATAGTTTTGTCGTGATCTTTGCGTTGGTCAGCGTGAGTAAACCAATCGGCACCTTCATTTCTCCAATTCACCCCCATTAGAAATGTGCTCTCGCTTGTTACCATAGCCCCAGATTTTTTGTCTGGAGGAGTTCTCCTCAAAGCTGCACTATACTGCCTAGTAGCTTTTAGCTTTTGTATCTTGAATTTTTTTTTTAAAATCAAAAACTCCGGTTTTTCTCTAAAAGTTTCATTTTTTTAAATATAAATATTCCGCTTTCTCTGAAAATTCAGCTGTTGAAATAATAATCATATTTATTTCTGATTTTCAAAGATGTATTTGTTAAAAGAAATTGAATGTTTATGTATGTTTTCAGTAGTTCGATGTGCTAAACTACATTTGATGTTTTTTTTTCTTCCAAACTCATCTCTGTGGTATGAATCAACATAGAGTTCTATAAAAAATAAACATTTGGAAAAAAAAAACATGATTTCCAAACTAATTTCGCCAAAATGAAGTGGTGATGAAAGGGTTGAAAATAGTTACAAAAGTTAATCAATGCATGTAGAAGGTTTTTTAATCCCATTTTTCTGTTTGCAGAAAGTTTTTAATTTGATCTAACTCTGTTTAAGCGTGCGTTATACTAACCCGCTACGGGTTTTTCTGTTATTTTTTTGCAAATTTATTACTAGTCCGTTGCGGGTACTTTGATTTCGTCACTGTATGTGCTGTGGTAAAATAACTGTTTTTTTTTTTATAAGAAAAGAACGTTTTTTTTAACATAGCTTGATATGTTACAAGAGTACTTAAAAGCAGTCTTCATGACATGAGCATAGCCATGAATTCTGACTAACAACTTGCGTGATTCCCTTTGCATAAAACTCTTTACGTCATCACCTAACATGAATCTGGTTTCCTTGAGCCATTTTTCCAATTACCCGAAAGCGTGGAAGTCACTAAGAGACAGGTCTGGACTTTATGGCGAATGATGAAGTGTTTCCCACTTCAACCTTGTCATTTTATTTTAATTTTTCATGAGACTTAATTTCATACTTGTTAATTTCATTGAAATGAATAGTTTTAGTAAAAATTTTATAATATTAAAATGCAATTATGCTTAAGAAAATTTATAATTTTTGTACCACTAGGTTTCATATAATGTTAATTTATAGGTGTAGCAAATATCCAAAATGTTTCGTTTCTCAAGGTTACATAAATAAAATGGTCTAAAATAGTTTCTAAATTTTTTCATGGCATCTTTTCATCTCATAAAATGCTAATTTCACAAATGAAATTTGTTTTAATTTTTATCATAAAAACCAGACTGGTATAAACACCAGACTGGTATAAACACCAGACATAGAATATAATGAGTATTTAAACTCTTCCGTAAAGTATTGTTTTTTCCCCCTACATTTAAATGAAGCAAGAAAAAGTAAACAACTACTGATGGCAATAAATTTCTAATAAAGCTTTTTAACATACCATAAAGTAAATTTATTAACATTTGTTAAAGTTGTGTCCCTACTATATTCATTTACACTTTTAATATTATTATTTTAGATCATCATGATGAGGAGCAGAGCTTAAACATGCTCCCTAATGTTTTCAGCAACCTCCTTCAACCGAATAGGAACACTAGAATTTTCTATTTTACACTTGCAAAGGTAAATTTAAACATTTCATTATTTTGTAAAACATTTGTAAAAGTTCTTTTTTACTATTACCTGATCAGAGTTGAAGCTTCGAGAGAATGTAAATTGAATGTTCAAAATCTTGCCAAATTTGTTGCACCAACAATTGTTGGTTCATCCAAAGTTAGAACATGAATTATTTTAATACAGAGACTAGTCTCATTTATCCAGTAAGTGTTCCAAAAATTTTTTTTCATTAGTTTTCTGTTATAATTATTGTAATTTGGTGTTCTTCTGTGCGCAATGTACACTTTATTAATTTCCTTCTAGGAAAATTGCAATTCAAATTTACCTTTTATTTTCAAGATCATTCGTTAACCATCAACTGCCATTTCTTCAAAAATCTTAATAAGCTTAATGTCTAGGGATCAATTAATTCTCTCCTGTCTTGCATAGACAAAGACATTTTCGATTTATGTTGCGCTTCAGCCTCATATTTTTTACGTATTATTGTAATTACTATTTCAGTGTTAATTGAGCTCTTTGTGTTAAAATACTATAAACTTCGCTGTTGTAAGTTGCATACTGAATGCTCAACAATCATTTTACAAATGATTTATTTTCATTATTACAAATGAGTTATCTTTGAACTACTTATGTAGACACATATAATGTATACATTTTAACGGCAGGCTCTGAACTTATTCTTTGCCATGGAAGGTGCCGGAAGAGTTGCTCATTTTGCTTTGCCACTGTGACCAAAGTCATGTAGGAGGGCAACATTACCCACCACATACTGCCACAGAAACCCATTCATAGGGTGGGCCACATTCGCACATCACACACAACAGAGGACAGCACACTGATCCATGCCCTGAGTGGGATTCAAACCCTAAGCCATTAGCTTCGCAGTCAGGCATGCTAACCCCTCGGCCACCTGGTTGGCATAATATGTATGTGTGAACATAAGTCTCTCCTCCTGTCTTGCTTAGACGAAGAAATTTTCAATTTACAGGGTGCATAGCGTTTTTAAAAAGTGCTTAAAGGTGCTTATTTTCGATTTTCGTGTTTTAAAAGCCCTTAAAGGTGCTTTTTTTCATGGGGTGTTTTTAAAAAGTGCTTNTTCATATTGTTCTATTCAACGTTTTCACAATTAATTCAACCCCAATCTATTTCGGCGTATTGTCAGTCCATAGCGTATGAAAACACCATTCATTTTACATGATTCAAAATTTCATGATTTTTGAAAATTGTCAAAAACAATGCCAAAAGTTTTTTGTTTTGTTTTTGACATGACGGTTAAAACAAGATAAAACTGTCAATTGTCAAAGACTTTCCGACCCTGCTTAGTTATGATATTTTATTAAAGTGCTTAAAAATATTTTTTGAGTGCTTGAAAAGTGCTTAATTTTTTGTTGAATAATTTGGCTACACACCCTGATTTATGTTGCACTTCAGCCTGACAGTGTCCCGCAGTGAACTGATCATTAAGACACGGTTCCCAGCAGATCACCAAAGTCAAGCATCACTGGCTGCGGTCAGTTTGCGAGTGGGTGACCACTTGGATCAGTCTGCGTAGGGACCGAGGGTGAGTGGTATGGGTCCTCGTTAAACTGTTCTGCCGTAAAGTGCTCGACTTTGCGTGCAGTTCGCCGGGCTACAAAAGCGGGGGTGCCATCCCCTCTGCAGAGGATCAAAATTGTAATGGCATGTCTTCAGATCATCCTCAGGGATGTTTCCCAGACGTCTCCAACAGCCCATTGTGCAGTTCTAGTGTGACGTAAATGAACTACAGCATCAGCCTGATAGTTGTGGCACATTATATGTACTATTTCAGTGTTATTTGAGTTTATTGTGTTAAAACACTATAAGCCTCACAGCTGTAAGTTGCATGTGTATTGAAATCTTTTGCTTAATAATCATTTTAAAAATGAGTTATTTTCACAATAATTAGCTATCACTCTATGAAAACACTCTTGTCTCAAGTTTGCTAACATTACTGCTGATATCCCTAAGTATTTTCAGAGCTCCCGAAAACCAATTTCTTATTTAGAAAATGGGCAAAGTCGATGGTAATTGTTACCTCAATCGATGATAATTGTGTTCCTCATCTATAAGTGATCTCAGTACTTCTGAACGGAAAAAATTATTAAATTGTTTAATTATGAAACTGTTTTTTCTTTCTTTTAAATTAAACTTTTGGCATGACTAAAAATTTATCTCTCTCATATCTTTAGTTATATACAGATTTTAATTAATTAATTTTTCGTTTCATGCTAAAATTTTAAGCAATGATTTTTAGTTTTATGCTGATTTTAAGCATTTATTTTTAGGACTCCAAGAACTGGTTCCAAAGTGGGAAGAAGACAGTTGTTTTCTTATCAAGAACTGTGTGCTTTCATACAGTAAACATTATATTCAATATATATACATGTCTTGTTTGCTTAGATTACTTATAGAATAGCGTTTTGGTTATTTACTTATTCATTGATTTTGTCTGTTACTTTTTGTTGCAAGTTTGTCAATGTTTTATGTACTTATTCAACTATTTTTGTTTATTTAACAAGATATATAACTATTTTACTAACAGGCTTAGCAATAAAAGTAACAAATAAGATAAGTTACCTTGTGATATTTTATATTATATAATCAATTAAACTCATGTTTGTGAAAATTGCAACACAATGAAGGACTTACGCGAGTGAACTGAAATTTTCAGGAAATGCAAAGTAGAGCATGATATGCAAATGATTAGAATTTCAGTCCCGTAGCGCATGCGTATGCTGAGCAGCTCCCTCTGAACGGCGGATGGATCTGAATAAATAGACGGCTATAGCGAGGCGTGTATGGTTATCGTTGGTTATCTGCTAGTGGTAAACGTTAGCTTAGACGTTACTTATGCCTCTTCGACGAAAGAGAGCGAGATTTCAAAAAGTTACGGAGTTTGAACGGGGGAGAATCATCGGCCTTCGTGAAGCTGGATTGCCTTATCGCGCAGGAGCCGCTCGTGGGCAGAGTAACAGCAGCACAGTGATGCGTGTTTGGAAGCAGTGGACGGACGAGTGTCGGACAACTCGGGAATCTGGTAGCGGACCCCGAAATGTCACGTCAGCTTGCGATGATAGACACCTGGTCCGTATGGCGCTGACAGACCGTACGGCTCCCTCTAGACAACTGGAAGCACAGTGGTCAATAGCTACAGGTGTTTCATTGTGTGCTTCATCAATTCGTAGACGTCAGCTGCAGCTTGGACTGCGGGCAAAGACTCCTTTATACAGGATCCCCCTCACACTAAACCATCGCCGCCTGCGGCTACAATGGGCCAATCAGCATAGGGACTGGCGTGCTGATTGGCAGCGTGTCGTGTTTTCTGACGAATCCCGCTTTAACTTGTGGTACCATTATGGCCGCATTCGTGTCAGACGCTATGCCGGTGAACGCCACCTTCCGGAGTGCATTATCGAACACCACAGTGGACGAACACCCCAAGTTATGGTCTGGGGTGCCATAGCATATCATGGACGATCTCAATTGCTACGAATTGTGGGTAATCTGAACAGCAACCGGTACACCAGTGAAGATTTACAGCCCCAAGATATTCCCTTCCTTCAAACCTTGCCAGGCACTGTATTTCAACAAGACAATGCCCACCCTCATATTGCTAGGACTGTTCAATCCTTCCTTGCATCGCGGCAGGTACAGCTTCTTCCTTGGCCTGCATATTCCTCGGATATGTCACCGATTGAACATGTGTGGGATTTCGTTGGTCGGCGTCTTGCTCGTGATCCTCGTCCTGTTGCTGCTACAGACGAACTTTGGGTACGCATACAAACAATATGGAATGCTCTTCCTCAGACAGACATTCAAAATTTGTTTGACTCCATGCCACGTCGTGTAGCAGCGCCTATTGCGGCGCGTGGAGGCTTCGCAAAATACTGATTTCGATCTCTTCTTATTGCTTGTTTGCTTTGAAAGTTTAATTATTTATTTGTTTCACTACCACTCAACTATGCATTAAATTTCCTTCAATTATGACGATTCCTTCATGGTGTTGCAATTTCCACAAACATGAGTTTATATACTAAGTTTTAAACTTTTGAAATTGTAAGCAACAAATAATTCTTGCATTTGTTTTTCTTTAATGATTTGTTTCTGAAATAACTAGCCAGGCATCTGAATTTTAATACTCACATTTATTCAGGAAGTGTTTATAAAGGTAATTGGTAATTAATATATTCCTTGTCATTATTTATTAGCTAAGTATTTGGACTTTGTAAATATTGTATTTAGTAATTATTGGATTCTACACTCCTGTATCAAAATTCAAATGGGAAATAAAAGTTTGATTTCCGAAAAAATTTCAATAGTCATTTTATTTGTATGAATGTGATCATAATTTTTTCTCCATTTAGCTAGGCAGTTTTTCTAAATTCAAACAAGTTTCACAACTGTAGCTTTTTAGAATTTGATTTTTATCAAAGAAAATATATTTTCTAAAAATTTTCTGTTAAAAATGAATTTTATTTCAAATAAGGATGCCTTCCTTTTTTATGATTTGCTTATTTTGAACTCTGTGCCATAGCTTTGTGATGTTGACAGTTTAAATCAATTCTTTTATGCTTACTAAGTCAAAATACCAGGGCTGCCATTGGAGACTAAAAAGGAGACTAAAACGACTATTTTAAAGTAATAGCAACTATGGCCACTATTTTAGTAAAAATATGAGTAAAAACAACTAATTTTCAATGATTTGCGTAAAATCGGCGACTTTTTTAAGCCAAAGCAACTAAAATGAAGAATCGCTTCATGAGTTTCCCCCTTCCCCCACTTTTTTTTGCCGCGCTTTCGTTTTATCCTAACTTTATTATTTCTCACTGTTAACAAACAGTGAGCATGACAGACAAGTTTAACCAATCAGACTGATGGAATTGGAATTCGCACTACGTGAATGCTCCTCCTGCTTTAGAAAGCTAATGTAATATCTCTGAGGATTAAGTTTTTTCCCCTCTTTTAATTTGAACGAAGTAGCAAAATTAGAAAAATTGTCTTTAATTACACAAAATGTTTTAATTTTTTTATAGTTATTTAGAGTAGAAAAAAAAGTACATGGTGATATTCGTTTTGTCGAGTTGTGATCGTAATTTTTCTGATAAGCATTAAAATGTGGAAATGTCAGTTATGAAAAATAAACAAAATAAAACGGAATTAAATTACAATATTTATTTTTTAAATGTCTAAACTAAGCAGCTGCAAATTAGAAACGAGAAAGGAAATTCAAGTTTCAAATTCGACTGTTCTGTAACAGAAACAGATAAAAATAAAACTCCCTGTTTTTGTACGTAGTGTGAAAGAATATATTGTTGGAAAATCCACAAATAAATGTACATTTTTATAAAATATGAGTATCTAAATGCATGTTATTTGAATTTTATGCTATTACAGCACGGATAATTAAAATTATATTAGAGGAGGATATGATGTTAGCAACTATTTTATATATCTGTGAGACTTTTTAGGAGACTTTTTTTTCATATATGATGCAACTAGAGCAACTATTTTTCTTGTTTTCATCCAGTGGCAGCCCTGAAATACAGAAACAAAAAAATCTGTATTAACTATATGATACATATGCTAATGTAATCAAACCAGAAAGGAAATCAAAAGTTTGTTCATCTTAAAAATAGTTCATATTTTTTATTTATTTATTTTTTAAAAAGTGTTATATTACAAAGCTTTTTTGTATTAATTATGCATAACATTGCTTTTCTATTCATACATTTTTATTATGAGCATGTGTAGGGTGTTCAAAAAGCATGGAAACGTTTAATCATCTCAACAATTTGAACTTCTTAGAATACATGCAGGGAATATTTTTAAAAAATGTTTTCAGTGATAAAAAAAAAACTCGACCATGAGCTTTCCCAGGCATTTTCATAAGAGTGGGCCACTGTAAATATAGTTATAAATGTTTCACATTTGAATGTGTTTTCAATGTCTAGGATTTTTCGGATGAAAGTTAATGTTAGTTCGTAATCAAGCACTGAATGTTACTTCATTTTGGCTCACTGTTATAGTTCATAGTATGTGAATAGCCTTCGTCAATCATTATATAGGAAAAAATATAAAGTATTGTATAAGCAAAATAAATAAAAAAAGAACACATAGCTTCCAAAGGTTATTAAGACTTCGAAGAATCAGCTAATTCTCTTATTAAAGTCTTCATACAGACCATAAAAAAATTCAGTATTAATGAACACTGCAACATCATGCATAAAGCTGAAAGGCATACAGGTAAAACATAAGTGACATAGTAGTTTGAGTATATGCTGTGTCACGAGAACAACTTTCTCCACTAACTTCACTAGATTTACAATCAAAATCCCAGTTTGTGTCAAATTTCTCAGAATGCTGTTGTTTATATTAGTTAAACCGATTGTTACAGTAGATGGTTTGTTCGGTTGAGGATCCTTAGACTCAATCACATAATATATGTGATAAGTTCTGATTCGTTTAGCCAAATTTGCAAAGACCTGCTGTGTACCGAATTTGTGTTCCTTTTTAAATTTCTTTGGAGGCATTGCTTAAAGGTATTTAACTTCCTTTTGAGGATTAAAAACATGTTTTTAATCCAAATGGCATTTTGTAACCCCAGAATACGACCGTTTTAACTGAACTTAAACTAAGTAATAACTAGTATTAGTGGCAATTTCGGTGTTTTTCTCGAAATTTAGATGCAATATTTAGTTTCAAAAAAGTTTTATACATGTAATATCCATGCAGATATGTCATTTTTGCCGAGCTGAAACAAGAAGTTAAACACATTTTGCTTTGAAAAAAAAAAGGTTTAAAAACAGGGAACCCTATCCCTTATTTAATCACTTTGCTACTTCTAATATGGGTGATGTTTTGATTTCATTTTTGACGAGGAGTTATAAATATTTCTATATTTACGACAATCATTACAAAACAGCCTGTATTCCGTATGGCAATTTCTTAGAGTAATGAAAAAGGTAAATCTTAAATCGAAGGTTCTCCTTGTATAAAGTAAACTTAGGAGCAATTGCGCTTGATGAAGATCGAAGGCTATAGTATAAGTACATTAAGTTTACTCTGATTCCTGGTTTTTGTACAAAAGCAGCACTGCAGTGTGTACTTTAATGAGCAAATTGATTGCCACGAGTGTCAAGATAAAACATATCTGTTCCCCCCCCCCTTTAAAAGGATTTTCATTTTCTTACGATGTCAGAAGAATAAAATATCTTAAAATTAATCGATATCTCGTAAGTTATGGAACTTAGCTTACAGTACGTAGAAGTTCTGCCATTCTAGAAGTTTAGTCATGCTTATGTAAAAGGCCGCTTAATCTCTCCTACTAAAATAGGAGAGTTTGCTTATTTGTTATTTAAGAAAAATAGAGCTTTGGTCTTATGCTAGGACAGATAACACCAAGGTAGAACATTTATTGCATATATCCGGTAAAAGAAAGACTGTCAAATGGCATCCATTAAAAGTCTGTTTCAGCAAAAATTAAATAAATTGATTCTTTAATTTTTTGCTACAGTTATAAATCGTTATTTTTTTTGGTTCTTTAGTAATTAAGTTGAAATATTCACTTGTAATATTATGATATT